CCCTACCCATCCTTCTGTCCTTCTAGTTTTTGCTCAGTTTCTCAGCAAGCAAATTGATGCAGTTTCCTAGCTACCTATCCAAGGATCCAGGAAGGCTGAAGTGGCAGGGCTCTCACAGGCTTGTGATCCTATCGACCCTCAAGGTCCTGAGAATTAGGAGGAGGGGAGGGCAAGGCGAGGCCTTCGGAGGCCTCAATGCATGAGGACCTTAAGCTGAAAAGGCTACTCCTGGCCTGCAAAGGAAAGCTGCTCAGAAAATAGAGCTGTCACGAAACCTGCCTTCCTCCTGGACTTTTCTACATTTCCATTGGATAGGGGTGGCACCAATGCTCCCTCTAAGCTGTGGAGTCTTGTGAGCAAAATTGTACTTTGTGAGCGACTGGCGTTAAAGTTGTGAGCGAGTGATTTGGCCACCGCATAAATTAGTTTGCTCTGGAGCCATCCTTCCTGAGCCAAGACAAAAATCTGTGAACCAGAGGCTAAAAAACTGTGAGCTAGCTCACACCAACGCAGCTTAGAGGAAACACTGGGTGGCACCCTGGTGGTACGTCACTCCTAAGAGGTAGAGACAGAGGCATGACTGAATTTTTCCCTCATTCATTGTTTACTGTGACACCCAGGGGACTGCAAAAACCCCATACCCATAACATCTTCCCAGGATCACAAAACAACATGTTGGTCCTAGCTCTTCTTAAGAACATAAGAAGAGCCCTGCTGGATCAGACCAATGGTCCATCTAGTCCAGTATCCTGTCTCACACAGGGGCCAACCAGTTCCTCTGGCACAGGGGCCAAGGCCTTCCCCTGATGTTACCTCCTGGCTCTGGGATTCAGAGGTTTAGTGCCTCTGAATGTGGAGGTTCCCCCTCAGACACCATGGCTACTAACCACTGGCAGACCAATCCTCCATGAATCTATCTAATTTTCTTTTAAAGTTGTTTATTCCTGCGGCCATCACTCCATCCTCTGGCAGCAAATTCCATACTTTAATCACTCTCTGTCTAAAGTAGTACTTGCTTTTGTCCTTCCCGAACCTACTGCCCATTAGCGTCATTGGACGCTCTTGAGTTCTAGTATTTTGGGAGAGGGAGGAGATAAAATCTTAATTATTTACATATTTTATTTATTTTCTTAGATTTCTATCCCGCCCTTCCCACGTGGCAGGCTCAGGGCAGGTTCCGAACATACAGATCTGCAAGTAATGCAGATTTACAATTAAAAACATATACATCAATATGACAACCATTAAACTCAGTAAAATCACCAAAAGTCTCTCTTTCTCTCTCTCTCCATCCCATGCGTAATTTTATAAACCTTATCAGTCAAGAGACTGGTCTTGTTATTCATCAGAGTTGCAGGTGCTTGTCAGGTGTGTGTTTATCACAGTCTTCATGCTTGGTCAACCATCGGCAGTACATTCTGGGGCTTTCCGATGCTTCAGGCTAGGGTTCAAGGAAAAGTACTCTCAAATAACATGACTGTATGTGCTAACAGTGTGTGTGTGGGGGGGGTCTTTTCCCCCTTATGCGTGAAACCCAGTCCTGTGCAAGCTGCTTCCCATGGCATCTCAGCAGAAGCTTATCTTAGCTTAGTTGGCAAAGGTAATATCCCAGTCAACACCAGCGTTCCCTCTAAGCTGAGTTAGTGTGAGCCAGCTCACAATTTTTTAGCCTCTGGCGCACACATCTTTGTCCTAGCTCAGGAAGGAATGGCTCCAGAGCCAACTATTTTATGCAGCAGCCAAATCGCTCACTCTCAGCTTTAATGCCAGTAGCTCACAAAGTAGAATTTTTGTCCCCAGGACTCCATAGCTTAGAGGGAACATTGGTCAACACACTGGTTTTCTGGGCTCCTTCAACTGAATCCATAGACACCCCCAATCGGAGTCACACAAAATAAGAAAAAAGTGCAGCGATCCGTGGTTCTCCCCGCCGCCACAATATCACGTAGGGTCGAAAACCAATCAAGGTCCTCTGGTCAGAGGGGTGTTCTGTGGTTGCCCATTTGAAGAAGCTTGGACAAGTTTTAGGCAAGTCTGGGGCCTGGGCAAGTTGGCCCCCTTACCAAAAGCTTTCTCCCAGTGCTAAGAGGTGCTTCCCTAGTGTTTTACAGCTACTGGCAGTTCGATGCTCCTCATGGAATGCACAGCAGACACTCAGCGCTGTGTCACTGCAGCCTCAGCAAAAGTCACAATTTCTGGTGGCAAATGACACAGAGGCTGCGATCCCCCACACTAAAGAATCCACTTCCAATCCACTTTCAGTGTACTCTCCAACTGGATTTTAGAAGAAGAAGAAGATGATATTGGATTTATACCCTGCCCTTCACTCAGAGTCTCAGAGCGGCTTACAATCTCCTTCCCCTTCCCCTCCCCACAACAGACACTCTGTGAGGTAGGTGGGGCTGAGAGACCTCTGACAGGAACTGCTCTTTTTTCAAGAACAGCTCTTATCAGAACTATGGCTTGCCAAGGACATCCAGCCAGGTGCAAGTGGAGGAGTGGGGAATCAAACCCGGTTCTCCCAGGTTAGAGTCCACACACTTAACTCCTGCACCAAACTGGCAAAATCCAGTTGGAAAGCACACTGAAAGTGGATTGGAAGTGGATTATTTAGTGTGTGTGTGTGACCGCAGCCAGAGTTAGGGTCTGAAATCCATTCTGTTCAAAGATGGAGGCTGTAACTAGGCCTGTTCGGGGCCAAAAAGGTACCGGATTAGAACAGAACAGAAACCTTTATTGGCATTAACAAAGGAGGCATAAGAGAAAATGTGAATGCTGTGTAAGGAGGAGGGTAGCTATGGAAGAACGTGCAGAAGGAAGGGAGCATGCAGTGGGACAAGTAGGGTTGCCAGATCCAGGCTGGGAAACACCTGGAGATTTTGGGATGGAGCCTGGGGAGGACAGGGACCTCAGTGGGGGGGTACAGTTCCGCGGAGTCCACCCTCCAAAGCATCCACTTTCTCCAGGGGAACTGATCGCTGTAGTCTGGAGATGAGCTGTAATTCCAGGGGATCCCCAGGTCCCACCTGGAGGCTGGCATCCTTGGGGACAAAAGAACCAGGAGGCTGAGGAAAGGCCAGCAGAGAGCTCTACACAGGGAGGGACTGGGGCAGAAGAAAGAGCTGAAGGGAAACCTGGAAGGGGGAAGCCATGGACACAGGAACAGGAAGAGTGGAAAAGAGCATGAAGCACGAGAAGGAGGGGATAAAGAGAAGACCAGGCAGAGGAGACTGGAGGGGGGGTAGAAGCATTGCGATTGGCTGCAATTATGGCCTATTGGGAACACTTTCATTTGAAACTTCTAGGCAGCCCCCCCTCCCCCCAAAAAAAGCTTATAGTGTCCGAACTGGCTGAGACCAGTGTTCCCTCTAAGCTGAGTTACTGTGAGCTAGCTCGCCGTTTTTTAGCCTCTGGCTCACAGATTTTTGGCTTGGCTCCGGAAGGAGGACCCCAGAGCAAACTAATAATGCTGCAGCCAAATCGCTCGCTCACAACTTTAATGCCGGTAGCTCACAAAGTGGAATTTTTGCTCACAAGACTCCACAGCTTAGCGGGAGCATTGGCTGAGACTGAGAGTGAAAGAGGTCTTGGGGTCGTGCTGGACGGCTCATTGAAAATGTCAGCTCTGTGTGTATCAGCGGTGACAAAGGCAAACTCCACGGCGAGGATCATTAGGAAAGGAACTGGAAAATAAAACGGCCTCGCACGTAATGCCCCTGTATAGATCGAGGGTCCAGCCTTATTGGAGCAGTGCGTATTCTGTATACTGTGTTTGCTGAAGCTTTAAAAAGGGATATCGCAGAGCTGGAAGCAGTGCAGAAGATGGAAACCAAGATGGTGTAAGGAGTCGGAGCCCCTTTCCTGTGATGAGAGGCTGAAGAGGCTGGGACTTTCGTTTGGGGGGGGGGATGACTGAGTGGGGATGTGATAAAGGCTTGTAAAAGGTTTGTAAAATGTATAAAATTAGGCATGGGGTAGAGAGAGGGGAACAGAGAACTTTCCCTCCCTCTCCCATTTGTACTTGTGCATAGAAAAATAGCATATCAAGGAGAATATACACCCTGACCTGGATAGCCGAGCCTCGTCAGACCTCCGAATCTAAGCAGGGTCAACTCTGGCTAGTACTTGGATGGGAGGACAGGGGCAGGCTTCATTCAGCCACCTCTCTGAATATCCTCCAGGCCCCCAGTAGGGGTCAGTCACCAGAGGTCACAGTGACTTCCAGGTGCACGCACACGCACATGCACACAAAACCAAAAAAAGAGAGAGAATATATATTTTTTAATTTTGTATTCTAATTTATATCCCGCCCTACCCCGCCAAAGCAGGCTCAGGGCGGCTCACAACAGATAAAACACAGATTAACAATCAGTCATTAAAACCATTAAAACAATTCATTAAAACAATACAGTATTAACATATTAAGTGCTAGCGATGTTATTCCAATACCACTGCATGAGTGCATACCAAATGGTGTTGATTCCAGCGTTGATCTTACTCGACACACACAGGCTGTTGATAATTCACCAGGAACCAAGCTCTACAGTCGTCACTAGCGACAATCACTGGTGATGGTAACTAGTAATGGTGGCAGCTCCTAGTCAAAAGCCTGGTGGAAGAGCTCCATCTTGCAGGCCCTGCGGAACTGTAAAAGGTCCCGCAGGGCCCTGATCTCCTCCGGGAGCTCATTCCACAGATAAACTGGCTTCAACACTGCAATTCATTTGAAACTGAAATCAGTGAAACTATGTGTTTAGATTCTGGCCAAAATGTGTGAGAAGACTTTTCTGTATATAGGATGACATGGCTGCTCCTTTTCAGTGCAATCCTAACCAGAGCTATGCCCTTCCCAGTCTTCAGTGGGTTTAGAAGGATGGGACTCTGTTTAGGATGGCGCCGTTAGTCCTCGATCCTTCTTGCGTGTGACCGAATAAATCGTTCGGCCTTTAAAGCCTGAAATGGAATTGCTGACGGTATGGATATGTGATCTTTTTCCACAGGTCGCAGTTTGCACTGAAGTTCCTTGACCCTTCCTTTGTGCCCAACACCAACTCTGTGAACCAAGAGCTGCAGGACAAAACTCCCAAATGGACATTCAACAGAACAGCATTCTTGCAACAAAGGTGAGAGAGGCAGGCCAGCCAAAATGGTACCTGAGACACTGAAAGAGCCGTTTGCTCCTCAGCCTCCACTTGCACCTGCTGATGTGACCTTGGGTCAGTCACAAGCTCTGGCACAGCTGTACCTGAAAGAGCAGTTTGTGTCAGAGTTCTCTCAGTCCCACCCACCTCACAGGGTGTCTGTTGTGGGGAGGGGAAGGGAAAGGAGTTTGTCAGCCGCTCTGAGACTCCAAGTGAAGGGCGGGGTATAAATCCAATCACTTCTTCTTCTTCTTCTCTGGAGAATTGTTTGGCCAAATGTTGGTTGGTTGTATCCTATGAACTTTTTCTAGTAAGTTGGATCCTGCGACACCCTTTTGCTGAGTCTTCCTTCAACAGAAAAGGACTTCGTTCAACAAACACTTCAGAGGAAGCCTTTCTCCAATGTTATTCTCCGGTGGAGGAAGTCTTTCTCTGTTAAAGGAAGGCTTAGCAGGAGAGTGACATAAGATCAAGCCCATTCTCTGCTCTTGGGGTTTTTTTTAAGAACATAAGCTTACGATAAAACTAAACTATGGATAATTGACCACAGGCTAGAGATGGGTTCTCATTCAGAAGTTCTGAATTGTCCTTCAGGAAGGAAAACAAAGGGAGGACACTAAACCGGCCAGTGCCATATACCCAGCCAGAGTGCTTGCTGTTTTGTGACAGTGGCCTGGATCCACCGTTTTTTCCGCTGGTGAAAAAAAGGAGGAGGGGGCCCAGAGTGGCTATGCTGGGGATCATGGCACCCACATGGCCAAAGTGATGTAGGTTGGTGACTGGACTAGGGTTGCCAAGTCTCGCAAACTCACCGGCGGGGGAGGCTCCGAGGGGTCCGGGAGCCAGCTCCGGATACACGCGCGCCGCCAGCACATCAACGAAAGTGACGTGCGACGTCGCTCACGTTGGGGGCGTGGCCCAGATCGTCGGGGGAAACCATATGGTTTTACCCCCGACGATCTGGGCCACGCCCCCAACATGAGCGACGTGGTTGCGTCACCTCCAGTGACGCAGCTTTGGGGGACGGAGTTCTCCCCGGGGCCCGATTCTGCCGTGGCGGAAATCGGGCCTCCAAAGCGAGGGTTTCCCTGCCCCCACTTGGCAGCCCTAGACTGTACCAAGGAGGAGAATTGGAGAAGGCTGAGCAGAAAAACAAAATTGGCTGGATCCAACCCGGGTATGTCATTATTACAGAGCATTGTTTTATTTATTTATTACATTGGATTTACTAGGGCGCCCTTTCCTACAAGTAGGGCTCAGGGTGTTTTACAGCATAATAATATACAATCTCAGGTTAAAATAAATTAAAACAGGCCAATAAATACCAATACATAAACAACATTGTCAAAATAGCAAAAATATAGCATATATAAGATGGCGGAAAAAACTCCAGCACCCCGGCCTCCCTGGGGGGAGGGGTTACAAAGGATGGGGACTTGTGTGAGAGTGCCAAAGGCTACCCCCGTTGCTGTCCTCAACCGAAGGCCCGGTGGAACATCTCTGCCTTACATGCCCTGCGGAATGGTAACAGCTCCTGCAGGGCACGGATGCCTTCTGGCAGAGTGTTCCACTAGGTCGAGGACAACCGGACTTCTCTCGGGCCGGGGACCGCCAGGACGTTCTTATTTCCTGAGCATAATGCTCTTCCAGGGGCATACAAAAGATTTGCTTTGTTCCAAGTGGAGTCCATTCCTTCCAGCCCCTGTAAGCCTCCTCGCACGCTCCACTCCCTAAATCCCAGTCTCCCACATTCCAGGGGTGTCTCCAAGCCAGGCTACAAGTTACACTCACTGCATCAGAGCACTCCCATCACTTGACAGTTCTGTTGGCTCAGACCACTGAAGGCTGGAAAAGATCGGAGTCGCGCATACAGTGAAAAAGAGCCAACCTTCTTCAGTCCCCTTCTTCTCTCCGTGTTTCCCTGGGCGTTGGGAGGAGGATTGGAGGAGGAAAAGGTCTCTAAGGAGAGAGCTACATGGAGATGCGCAACAGATGGAGGCAGCCCTCGGCTCATCCTTAGCGGTGTATGTGGTTTCGATCCCCTCCGGCAGGGTCAGCTCCTGTTGATATTTGGATGGGAGACCACAAAGGAAATCTAGGGTCGCTAACCAGAGGCAGGCAATGGCAAACCTCCAGTGAACATCTCTTGCCTTGAAAACGCTGCAGGCTCAACATAATTTGGCTGTAACTTGACAGCCCTTTCCACCACCGCCAGTTTGGTGCAGTGGTTAAGTGTGCAGACCTTAATCTCGGAGAACCGGGTTTGATTCCCCACTCCTCCACTTGCAGCTGCTGGTGTGACCTTGGGCAAGCCGTAGATCTTTCAGAGGCTGTTCTCTCAAGGACAGTTCTGGAAAGCGCTCTCTCAGCCCCACCCACCTCACAAGGTGTCTGTTGTGGGGAGGGGAAAGGAAAGGAGTTTGTAAGCCGCTCTGAGACTCCAAGTGAAGGGCGGGGGTATAAATCCAAACTACTACTCCTCTTCCTCCTCCTCTTCTTCTTCTTCTTCTTTCTCTGCCTTCAGAATTCAGAAGCAGCCAGTCTCTAAAGCATCCACTCTCTACCTGCCAAGAGCACACAGGTTTAGGTCTTATGTGAGAAACAAGAAACTGGGCAAGCTTGCTTTTAACCTTCTGTTTTTATTGCTTTATCCGGAATATATATGATTGGAGAGAAGGGGTTCATCATATTATTCCAAATTGTCCAGTTGTGCTCATTCCATCCAAGACAATACCGGGATCAATGTAACCATTTCATGGAGCAATAGTCACATCAGATTGATGGTGTGGACAAGTGAGGACATAATGTCGTCTTTAACCACAGTTAAGAAATTGGAACCCAGCCCCAGGATCATGTGATTCCAACCAGTGTTCCCTCTAAGCTGAGTTAGTGTGAGCCAGTTTGGTATAGTGGTTAAGTGTGCGGGCTCTAATCTGGGAGAACCGAGATTCCCCACTCCTCCACTTGCACCTGGCTGGATGACCTTGGGCAAGCCGTAGCTCTGATAAGAGCTGTTCTTGAAAAAAGAGCAGTTTCTGTCAAGAGCTCTCTCAGCCCCACCTACCTCACAGGGTGTCTGTTGTGGGGAGGGGAAGGGAAAGGAGTTTGTAAGCCGCTCTGAGACCCCTTTGGGTAGTGAAGGGTGGGGTATAAATCCAATCTCTTCTTCTTCTTCTTCTCACCGTATTCTAGCCTCCGGCTCACACATTTTTTGCCTTAGCTCAGGAAGGATGGCTCCAGAGCAAACTAACTTACGCAGCACCCAAATCACTCGCTCACAACTTTAATGCCAGTAGCTCACAAAGTAGAATTTTTGCTCACAAGACTCCACACCTCAGAGGGAGCATTAGTTGCCAACCCATAGCTTGTCTCTTCCCTGGAGAAAATTCTTCTCCTCACAGATCAGCAGTGATTAAAGAATATGTTACCATATTGACCGTTAACAAACAGTGGTTAATTTTAACTGGGTTTATCTTAATAACTGCAGCCTAATAGCCTAGCCTTATGGAACTTGTAAGCAAAGCAGGGTCAACCATGGTTAGTAATTGGTTGGGAGACCACCAAGGAAGACTGTTCATCTCTTGCCTTGAAAACCCCATCGTCCTGGGGCCGCCATGAGTCAATTGTGACTTGATGACACATTATTATTATTATTAGCAAGAAACTAGGCAAGTTAATAGCAGTTAAGATGTGTGTGTGTGTGTGTGTTTGTGTGTATTCCTTAACCACAGTTAAGACAGGAGGGAAGAATTCACTCCCAGGATATGATGGGCAAATAAGTACACAATCTTGTGGGCTAATCCAATTCTCTTAACTATAAATCAGAATATAAAGTCCACCAAGGCTCAATAGGCGATCATACAATAATCAGAAATTACATATTGTGTTCACCCTAATGTGTTGTTTGCTTCAAATCCAAGAGACTGCTTCGTGGCTATCTAGAGTTGAGCAAGGACGAAGCTGTACTCTTAAGATTTTGGCTCTTGATCCGATTGCAAATTGTTTGGCCTTGCTCAGAGAAGAAGCTATATTGTGGTTTGCATTGACTTTTAACACTGGACTGGCAAAAGATGTTTTACAAGATGTTTTTCTATTTTGGTACATTGCTGAGGCAGGCAGAAGAACAGAGCACAATAGGAAATCTTGTTTCATCAAACAACAGAGATGATTGAACTGAGTTTTAATTTGGCCACATTAACTAGTCATTAGACATTGATGGGGTTGACCAGTTTCTTTGGTACCTTTCTAAGACTTTCTAGAGACTCCAGTACTTACAATGCAGTCCTAAGAAAAGGTACCCCCCTTTGAAGTCCATTGAAATCAATGGGTTTAGAAGGGTGTAACTCTCTTTAGGATTGTGGTGTCAATGCCTGAACTGAAAGATGTAGAATGTAGCTCATGCCCCAGGCTCTTCACCACCATACTTGTAGTGGGAGGGATTCAACCCCTTTTTTGGGAGAAACAGTATATATTGGTTGATTGATTGATTGATTGATTGATTGATTGAATGGCTGGTGCCAGGTTGGTTTTCGACTATGCATTCAGAGAGTTGGGCAAGTCGCCCGGGACTGAAAGAAACAGGAAGGAAAAAGGGGAAGAGCGAAATTTCGAATCATATTTCACATTTGCATGTTGAAATTCTCATTCAGTTTTTCAGATCTTTATTTTGTGACTCTGAAAGGGTAACATTGTCAAAACTTAGCTTCTGAATGAATCGTCACAGTTTGTAGGGGGGGAAGCGGTTTTGGTTTAGGTGAACCTGTACAAACCTTATTTCTGTGACCTGGTCAGAGGTGAAGTCCAACTCAAGTGTTTCTTTAACAATCGCATAATGCGGAGCCTTTCCCTAGCACTTACTGGTATGCAACGGCCTTCAGATCCATTGGCATTCATTGTTATGAGTAACACATATCCCCAGCTTGAGCTGTTCCCTGGAAGAACAGCACACAAGCAAAGCAAATTAGTAATGAAATAATCCCAAGTTGTTTTCTTGTCACTTGATGATGAGCAAATGGAAACTGTAATGTTTTTTTAACTGGCCTCCTCCACACCAGGGGAAACTCCAAAGTGTTCTTAATATTCGTAATTGGCCATGTGCTTCCCCAAATAGGGTATTAAGGAGTTATGTGTCTGCAAAGGGGAGACAGATGAATGTCACTCGGAGATGCCAAATGAGGATTCTGGAAGCACTGACATCCAAACTTCAAACGCATTATCATTAATGTCATTTAAGATCGCCTCCTTAGTCTTGCGTGGGTTGCCCGAGGAAGCAGCAGTATTTCTTTGCAAAGCTCTTTCCTGGACCCTTGGAACGTAAAATATATCATACCTCCAGAGTTTAATTGGCTTTAAAAATGTTCCTGTAAATCGTATTACGCTCGCAATCCCCAAAGTCAATGCATTCTACTTCAAATTCTAATGGAGATTGACAAATAAGCATCAATGGCCAAGCCTTGATTACGCTGGTTTCTTTATTACTCTGCTCCATCACTCATTTTCTGTGTATTGGAGAGCATGGAAATTTATTACTAGAGCTGCAGCATTTAGTTCAATTAATCGGCTAGATTAATCGATGGGGGGGGGGGATCAGCTAAAAATGAGGCTGTGGTTAATTGGAAGGCAGATCTTAAATGTTGCTAATTATTGTTAATTCAGGTACATATAAAAATGGCCAATGGCAAGCACCATCTTGGAAGAAGAATTCCAACCTCAGAACTGAGATGTGGGAATTCCTCTTCTACGATGATACTTTCCGCATCCCACCTCCAATTAAAAGGATCCGGTTGGAGAGCCAAAGGAGACAATACTGACCTTGACATACTGATTCAAGCCACTGTGTGTGTTCATGTGTAGGTCATGTAAAAACACGGAATGTATGCTTTTTTTAGACCTATTGTTCTCCACGTGATCACTTTTATGTAGATAAGTAAGTGATCACAAATTCAGCAAATGCATACCACTGGTTGATTGTGTGTGTATGTGCCGTCAAGTCACTTGCGATGTATGACGACTCTATGAATTAATAGCCTCCAAAATGTCCTCTCATAATAATAATAATAATATACTTTATTGTCATTGTACATAGTACAACGAAATTAAAGGTGCAATCATTCGGTGATCTACAACCATACTCATACACTCACACAACCATTCACAACCATCCCATAACTCCCTTAGGGTTCACATAGCAACTTAAACCACCAATGTCACCCAAATTCCAATTTCATACAGCATTTAAAGCAATAATAGCTCTCGAATAAAAACTATTTTTAATCTGTTTGTCCTTGTTTTAATTGTCCTCTATCTTCTACCCGAAGGCAGCAGTTCAAACAGGGAGTGTTCAGGGTGTGACAAATCCTGCAGAATGTTCTTTGCTTTTTTCAAGCATCATTAATAGCCTTGCGAACTGAGGGCTGTCCCCCTTGACTGAGTCCATCCATCTCATGTTGGGTCTTCCTCTTTTCCTGCTGCCTTCATTTTTTCCTAGCATGATTGTCCTTTCCAGTGACTCTCCTCTTCTCTTATTGTGACCAAAGTACAATGGCCTCAGTTTAGTCATTTTAGCTCCTAGGGAGAGTTCAGGCTTGAGTTGATCTAGAACCCACTGATTTGTCTTATTAGTTGACACCAGTGTCTTTATTTGGGGTGACTACCATAATATTTGTTAAAAATGAAATGGTCTAAAAATTTTAAGACAGTTATATTCTCAGTGAAAGAGCCTCTGGACCATTTATCTGATGTATGCAGACTCTATTTATAGCCACAGGCTTCAACAATAAGTATTCTCTTTTATAAGTTATAGGGAAATATCTCAATAATATAGAAAATATAGAGCCAGCATGGTGTAGTGGTTAGGATATTGAACTAGGAACTGGGAGACCCAGGTTCAAATCCACGCTCTGCCATGGAAGCTCACTGGGTGACCTTTGGCCAGTTTGGTGTAGTGGTTAGGAGCGAGGATTCTAATCTGGGAGAACCGGGTTTGAGTCCCCACTCCTCCACTTGCACCTGGCTGGATGACCTTGGGCAAGCCATAACTCTGGCACAGCTGTTCTTGAAAAAGAGCAGTTTCTGTCAAGAGCTCTCTCAGGCCCACCTACCTCACAGGGTGTCTGATGTGGGGAGGGGGAGGGAAAGGAGATTGTAAGCCCCTTTGAGCCTCCTTTGGGTAGTGAAGGGAGGGGTATAAATCCAATCTCCTTCTTCATTCCCTTCAACCTAGCCTACCTTAGAATATGGCTGTCCTGAGGATAAAATGGAGGGGGGAGATCACTGTCGCAAGCTGTTTGGAGTCCCCATCGGGGTGAAAAGCCGGGTATAAACATCTAAATAAAATAATAACATAGAAAATATCAGGACAGGTGAACTAGTTCCTAATACGTATTTTTTTTAATGAACAGACTACTTGGCATCCAGACTAGTTCACAAGGTAATACTATTAAAACAATCCCATGTGCCATACTAAATCCCCATGCGGCTGTGCAGATCGCTGGTGAGCTTGGGCCGGCCGCACTCTCTCAGTGTAACCTACCTCACAGGGTTGGTGTGAGGATAAAATGGGGAAGGAAGAACCACATACTGGACCACACTGGAAGAAGGACAGGATAACAATGTACTAGACAGAGATCGATAGATAGATGATGATGGATGATGATGATTAAGAAGAAGAAGAGGAGGAGGAGGAGGAGGAGGAGGAAATTGGATTTATACCCCGCCCTTCACTACCCAGAGGAGTCTCAGAGCACCTTACAAACTCTTTTCCCTTCCCCTCCCCACAACAGACACCCCGTGAGGAAGGTGGGGTTGAGAGAGCTCTGACAGAAAGTGCTCTTTTTCAAGAACAGCTCTGACAGGACTATGGCTTGGCCAAGTTCATCCAGCTGCAGCAAGTGGAGGAGTGGGGAATCAAACCTGGTTCTCCCAGATTAGAGTCCGCGCACTTAACCACTACACCAAACTGGCTCTCTTTACACCAAACTGGATGGATGGATGGATGGATGGATGGATGGATGGATGGATGGATGGATGGATGGATGGATGGATGGATGGATGGATGGATGGATGGATGGATGGATGGATGGATGGATGGATGGATGGATGGATGGATGGATGGATGGATGGATGGATGGATGGATGGATGGATGGATGGATGGATGGATGGATGGATGGATGGATGGATGGATGGATGGATGGATGGATGGATGGATAGATAGATAGATAGATAGATAGATAGATAGATAGATAGAGCTCTTCTTATAGGGGCTACTGTAAGCTCTTGGAGGATTGGCTACATTAGGGGTGTGTCGCCTAATCTGCAAAGGAGTTCCTGCCAGAAAAAGAGCCCTGCGTGAGCTATCAGAGCCTGTATGGTGTAGTGAGTTAGAATGTCAATTTCACACTATTTGCTGCACAGCTGCATTTTGACCCACAGCTCCCCCCGATTTCCCCTATGCCTTCTTGATCTCAAAAAACAAGGGTCGAGAAGACGCAGGGAAAATTGGGGGGGAGCTGCGGGTCAGAATGCGGCCGCGCAGCGAATAGTGTGAAATTGACCAATGCAAGTGGGGGAAACAGAAGAGCGAGGGCAGCACAGCAGCTTGTGGGGAATCAGTCTGTGTCACCCGTTACATGCTTTGTTTGGTGAAAGCTGTTACATAAGATAGATTCTAATTGTTAGCTAAGACAAACTAAGATAAATTCTGAGAAACAAAAGAGACGTTTTCTTCCAGGGTCGACTCAGACTTGCACTCTCTTTCCCCAAAGTTCATAACTGCTTCAGATGCTTCTCCAAACCAGCCCAACTGTGCAACATGGGGAAGTGCAACCTTCTTATGGAAATGTTTTTGGACTTTGCTTTCAGGCGAGAGATTCTGCAGAACGTCGACGTCGTCAAGAACATTTCTCTGACCAAGAGCATGGTTCGGATCGGACAGCTGATGCACTACGATTACTCCAGCCATAAATACGTCTTCTCCATTAGCAATAACTTCCGAGCGCTGCTCCCCGACGTCTCGCCCATTCAGAACAAGCACTACAACATTTGTGCCGTTGTCGGAAACAGCGGGATCCTGGTGGGCAGTCAGTGCGGGGAGGAGATAGATAGATCCGATTTTGTTTTCCGTTGCAATTTCGCTCCGACCGAGGCGTTCCAGAAGGATGTCGGCAGGAAGACCAACCTCACCACCTTCAACCCCAGCATTTTGGAGAAGTACTACAACAACCTGCTGACCATTCAAGACCGCAACAACTTTTTTCTCAGCTTGAAGAAGCTTGATGGAGCCATCCTCTGGATCCCGGCCTTTTTCTTCCATACTTCGGCGACCGTCACGAGAACATTGGTTGACTTCTTTATCGAGCACCGAGGACAGTTAAAAGTCCAGTTGGCCTGGCCAGGAAACATAATGCAACACGTCAACAAGTAGGTATCGTTTTCGCAGTTAACTCACCCTTTGACAACTTTCCTTTTCTGCAACTGGTGAGCAGGGTCCAGAGTTACAGGAGTTTTAACAGAGTCACCAGTGTGTTGTCTACTAAAACTCCCTGGGCTTTATGTGACCATCTGTGCAGAGAAAGTTCATAGAGTTTTCCAGCTTTCCTTTCCATTCCTGCAGCCCCTTCCAAACCCAGGAAAGATCATCCCCATATTTGTGGGATCAGGGCTGAGGAAGAACCATGTGAGGTGTTGGACTGGGATGGGGAAGGACAAGGAGATGAAATCCACCCCTTCCAGCTGAATCAGCCTTCACCCCTTTTCCCTTCCTCACTCGACTCCCCCCACAACACACATGGCTATCTCCCTGCCCAGATCCCATAACCCTGGGACAGGCCCATAGCCAGGATTTTGTGGCTTGTGGGGCTAATTTTTGTCTGGTGGGGCTGAAGCTCTCGGTGCAGAAAGAAAAGCCAGAATTCTATTCTACATAGGTATTCTTAACCATTTAGCCAATGGAAAGCTGTTACCAGGATAGATCTCTAAATTGCAGTCTGTCAAACACTTTAAATGACAGTTCTCAGCTGCTGCAAGTTAATCACTCCTGCCAGCCCAAGCAACAATTCTGATCACAAACCGGCAGGTGGGGGCGATGACTTCTATAGTCAAGAAAGCTAACACTTAGGCAGAAAAACTCTCTTAAAGGAGACCAGTTTCTTGACAAAGAGTTAGAAGGTATCCTAGAGGTCACCTATTCCAACTCCCTTGCTCAGTGTGGGATTTAGTCAACTACAGCATCCCACTCTGCTTAAAGGAGCGCACATCTTTTTTAAAAAAAATGTTTTTAAATTATTGAAAAAAGGATTTACAGGAGAAATTCTTGTGGGGCTGTTCCTTTAAGAAAGGGGGTGGAGCCCCCAAAAGCCCCACCGTAGCTACGGGCCTGTCCTGGGAATTGTCTCTCCAGGGGCTGGATGGAACTGCAGGAACAGAAAGGAACGCTGGAAAACTCTGGGTTACATGCACAAAATAGTTGGATACAGGCCATTATACTAAGTCAGTATTGTTGGTCACAAGTCACATAGAAATCTATGCAGGACTAGTAGACCCCTATGTAGATAAGTAAGATCCACATTAGATGCTTTAGGGGATGTCACGGCTCAGGTGGGGTGTCACCTGACGCTGCCACCACTCTGGATCTAGGATCCCTTGAGAAGGCCCAGAGCACCCTCCCAAGACCTTCAGACCTCCCTTATTTGGCCAAATAATATGTGTCAGGACCAGGCAATGTAAACAACAAATAAAAGGTTTATTTTTATAGGAGGTCAGCCCAATATGGGAAAAACAAGGTGCAAAAACAATAACAATAAGTGGGTGAAGCAAAAGAAACCAAATGCCCTAATGCGTATAGACTCACAGTCCCTAGTTCACTGTCTCAAGTGTGCCTTGATGAGGGTCTCTTCCGTGCAGCAGCCTTTCCTTTGGCCCTGCTCCCTTGGAAGAAGAACAGCTCTTCTTCTGTACCAGGTCCTTTATTATAAATCCCCTTTCTCTGTGATTGGCTAAAATTGGCACCAAACCCTCTCAGGGACTTCTGGGAGTTGTAGGCCTGGCCTCCTCCCACTGCTACTCAGGCTCCCTGGGCCTGCTAGGCTTCTAGTTCCACAGCCCAGATCATGACAGGGAAGCTCTTGAATGAGAGCCAGCGGGAAGAGGCAAGAACGCAGTCAATGATATGCCAGTGCTGGGAACTCTGAAAACTGTCTGGTCAAGGTGATAACAGCCAATGTAGTATAGTGTCAAACTAGGGTCTGGGAGACCCAGGTTCGAATCTCACCTCTGCCATAGAAGCTTGTTGGGTGACCTTGGGCCCATCACACCCTCTCAGCCTACCATACCTTGCAGGTGTGCTGTGAAGACAAAATGGAGAAGGATGTAAGCTGCTTTGGGTCCCCCCTGGGGAGAAAGATGGGTTATAAAATGAAGTAACTAAAGTGTAGCTGGACCCAAACTAACCATAACCACAGCTAGGCAGAAAGTCCAAGAAAGTGATAGGGAAGAACTAGGAACCGAGCTAGTGCAAATCAGGTCCTTCAGTAGTAGGGA